CCCAGAAAAATCATGGAGGGGATCCTCAAGGAATCCATTTTAAAGCAATTGAAAGAGGGAAAAGTGATCAGGAATAGTCAGCATGGATTCACGAAGGGGAAGTCGTGCCTGACCAATCTGATTAGCTTCTATGATGAGGTAACTGGTTCTGTGAACATGGGAAAGTCGGTGGTTGTGATATACCTTGACTTTAGCAAGGCTTTTGATACAGTCTCCCACAATATTCTTGCCAGCAAGTTAAGGGAGCATGGATTGGATACATGGACTGTAAGATGGATAGAAAGCTGGCTAGACTGTCAGGCCCAACGGGTAGTGATCAACGGCTCGATGTCGGGTTGGTGGTCGGTTTCTAGTGGAGTGCTCCAAGGATCTGTTCTAGGACCGGACAGCTCTTGCGCAAGAGGGTTTTTTTTTGCGCAAAAAGGAGCCGTGTAGACCCTTGCAAAAATGGCGGCCCACTAAGTATGCAAATGAGGTGTAAATGAGGCATAGCGATATTCACCGCTTTGCCTCATTTGCATATTCTCTTGCACAAGAGGGGGCAGTGTAGACGTAGCCAGGCCTCTGAGAGCCTGAACCTACCTTGATCTCCTGCCTCAAACCAAAGCCTGCCCCCAGCACCCAAACTCCCTCCCAGAACTATAGGCAGGTATGGGGAGCTGGAGGGGTGGAACGGCATGGACTTTGGGTATTCTGGGTACCACAACATTTCTGCAAACCTGCCATCCCCGGTGCTGAGCATCCACGCTTCACACCGCGGAGTGCAGCCCCCATGCAAACCACACCCAAATGTGTTTTTCAACATATGAGCATATCTTACCACCCAGGGTGGTGGATGAAGCTTCTGCTTGGGGAGGCAGAAGCTCCCCAGCCTACTGCTGCTGCCTGTGGCCATGCCCTTACTCCACCCCTGCTCTGCCCAGGACCCTACCCACTGCTCTCCCATGCCTCACCCCCTCTCCACTGTCTCCCTCCTCTTTTCCCTGTTCCCCCTCCCTGAATATCAGTGAGAGCCCGGCTGGCAGCGATCTAGTGCAGCACGGTTGGCTTGGAGAGGCCAGCTGAAGCCATTAGGGCAACTGAGGGCCCAGCCGGCAGCTATATAGAGAAGCACAGTTTGCTTAGGGGGGAGCCAGTGAAGGGCTGACTGCAGAGGAAGCAGGAGATCCCCGGAGGGAGACCAGCTGGGGATAGCCAGCGAGGGCTGGGAGAAGGCCAGCTAAGACTCCTCCTGGCTAGGGACTGGAGGCAAGGCCTAGGGTTTGGAGGCAGATCACAACGTGGCTTAGGTAAGCGGGGCAGTAGAGATAACCCAATGCCAATGATGAGCAACCCATACAGACTGTAACTTTCCCTGAGAGGGGCTAGATGAGGACAGTCAGGGGGCACTGAGGCACGGTGGGGGGGTGCACCCTGACAGTGCAATTCTTGACATTTATTTTCAATGCATATATGGTTTCTACAAGCATTTTTTTTTCAGACATAGGCTTTTTAGAGTCTGAACCAAAATATTTTTGAATATCCATGTTCGGGAGTTGAACAACTAGCTAAGGGGTGAGGACCCAGGGTCCAGAGTGAAACGTATATCTGTCACTGGGGCTATGTCTACACTTCACCATAGGTCAAAATAAGATACAGAATTTGAGCTATGCATATTATATATTTTATTCTGATCTTATTTTAAAATAGCTTATTTAATAATTTGGCACTGTCTACACTGCACCAAATTTTGAAATAACGTGCTATTCTGACATATTCTTTACTCCTCGTGGAATAAGGTTTACGGGGACATTGGAATAGCGAGCCTGAAATAATGGGCTTGCTGTGAAGGCATGGGATATGTCAAAGTCAGACAGGACTCACAGTTTTGTCAGACCGCTCTGTTTATTAGCAAAGCTCTGCTAAATGCACCCAGAAAATGTGAGTCCTGTCTGACTTTGACAATTTGGAGGTCCCACTGAGATGGCAACCATCTTCACTGAGGCTGTGTGATCCCCGACTGTCTTGCAGGATGATATTGTTTTTCCTTTAGCAGGAAGGAAGATGTTAAGGCAAAGGACAATGGTTCCACTTACGGGTGATAGTGAGACATTAACAGGAGATTGGTGAGAGTTAATAAGGAAAAAGGGTTAGGTAACTGACCCTAGGTAACAATGTCAGTTTGCACCCTTTTGCAATCCTTTGTGTCGCTCTCCTTTTATTTGTATAAATAAGGTGGCTTAGATTTGGGATGGGGTGTCTCGCTTTTCTGGTTGTACTGGTGAAGCGCTTTGCTAATAAAACAGAGTGGTCTACGAAATTGTGAGTCCTGAGTCTAACTTTGACAATTTGGAGGTTTGAGTCTGGGAGCTGTCTCCATCCAGGGATCGCTCACCAAGAGGTTCCTGCCCTGTGGTTTGAGTGAGTGGAATCTGCAGTCGCAGCCACACAGCACTTTGGGTAAAACCCCTGGTGTGAAAGGAAGGGCTGTTGAGGCAGTAGCCTGAGGGCTCCTTTTTGTGTGTTGTACCGGGCACCACTCTGACGAACCCGAATTTCCTCCTTGTGTGATTGGTGTATGAAGTCCTCCTGTATGGGTAACTAGACGTCTAAGCAGGGATAGTTCCCTAAAGGGACCCTGGCTCAGTTTATATATTTTTAGAAAGGGTCCAGACCCCTGTAAACTTCTGATAAAATTATCTAGATTGACTCTGGGGGATCCCAAAACTCAGTGGCCACTGTTAGGATCTTGGAACAAAGACCGAGTGGACGTCTTAAAAGACAAACTTGGCCTTCCCAAAACTAAACTGGCTAGAGGAGAGGTAGATTGCTTCATGCAGTGGTGGGATGAGACAAATCTTAGATGGACTGAATTGAAGCTTGCCTCCCTTAAAATTCTAAATATAAGTGTAAAGCTTTATTGGAAACCTCCTCTCCCACCACCAGACCGAGCGCTTCCCTTTACCCCGTTTTCCAAGAAGACTCAGACCGGTTCTACTTGGAGCTATAAATCCTGGACCCACACGGAGCTCCACTCAATTGTAAAAGGTTTTCCAGAGCCCCAGGAAAACCCTACCAAATTTGCAGAAGAATTTTTGCTAAAGTGCAATGCCTATGAACCCTCTGAAGCAGACCTCCTGCAACTGTGTAAGCTACTTATAACCCCTAGCGGGCCAAAAAAAAAAAAGGCTCCTGATAGCAAATTGGCCCACCTCTGAGCATCTTTCTAATTTGCCAGACACTGGTCCTGACGCTGCCTACTAGAACAAATGTAAGAATCAAGCTAAGTGCCTGCATGAGGCCAGTCCCCAAGTATGGACTCCAAAAAATCAACTGGACGGCCATACATTGCTGTAAACAGCAACAGAGAGAAAACCCGGGCAACTATCACACAGACTGACTGATGGTTTTTTTTCTGCGTCATTCTGGTATACAGCGACTGGGTGAAAATGGACAGGGCGCCCTGGCGCATGCGTTTGTTAATGGCCTCCTATCTGCTATTAGCAGTATGTTAAAACAAGTAAGTGTTGGATGGGAGGCCAAGACCGTGGAGAAATTGCAAGCAGTGGCAGAGCATTGGGGGCTGATCACTGCGCAGGGAGGGGACCTGGCAGCTGGCTCTGCAGGGCTGGTCGCCCCCCCCCCCCCCCCCCCCCCCGCCGGGGGGGGCGGGCGGGGGGGGG